TTGCTGTTCTTTATTTGCATTGACAGTCAATTAGTAATTATATAAGTATATTAAATGTTGAATAATCGTGATTTAAATATTGACAATATTAGTCATAATTGTTTTTTTTCTTCCATGCTCAAGCAAGCCTATCATTAATTTATTTTACATACATGCCAGAATAGGTGTACGGTTGGTCTTAAGGTTAATTGAAAGAGGTCTTTACTTAAATTTCAGTTTTAAAAAATCCTGGTGAATCCTACCGTGATTGTACGAGTAGTTAAAATAGATTTTTAAAAATCCTGGTGCTACCGTGATTGTACGAGTAGTTAAAATACATCTATTAGAACTCAGATGGGTGGAGCTCAGAATAACTGCGGAATAATTATTCCCCTAGTAAATGGGCTACAGAGGTCATTCAACAGCTGTTTCACTATACCTAACATTTTTAGGACAAGTGCTGGATGAGGTGTCTCTGCAGTGTGTAGATCCATCTCACTGTCAGGTGTGTATCCACGATGGTGAGAGAATCCCCCATGACAACAAGGTCATCTTCAACCACGATGATCCGGAGCTCTGCAAAATATGGTAATGACATCAACAAGTCTGAAAATTCTCTGCATTTATAGTAAACAATTAAGGATTTTATTATTTTTTTTTACAACATTTCAGCCAATGTGGAAACAACACCCTGAGCTGTGAAGATTGCACCTCCCTTAAGATGTCCGTTATTCCCACAATGACACCGACACAAATGACAACTCTTCCCTTCACCACTGCAATGCCTGAAGGCCAATGTGACCGGGCAATGGATCTAGCATTTTTATTAGATGGTTCACAAGCCTTAAATGAGGAGGAATTTCTGCAAACCAAAAAGTTCATACTCGGAGTGATTTCACGTTTTCGCATGGGATCAGCTCACACCCGTGCCACAGTGCTAGTTTATCACTCTGGAGTGAAAACATACGACTTACAGGTAGGTAACCGTATATTGTAAATATACTATTGTAACTACAATACTGTGGAATTATGATTGAGATACGAGCATAATCCGTTCCAGGACCGAGCTCATAACTATCTATCTCGAATCATTTTTTTTCCCATAAGAAATAACAGAAAAAAATGATCCATTGCAGCCCTCTAGAAAACTCCTTTATTAGTGCTAATAACAATGTAAAAAAAAAACATATTTTGCATCTCTTTGTTGTATCTTAAGGTTCAAAAGTTGCGGTTCAAAAAGATGGTTGGTGATCTGCATTATACCGGGGGAGATGTAGCCTTTTTGGACGAAGCTATCAAATACCTGGGTGTCAACATCTATGACAAGAACAAACGTCCTAATGCTGATCGTGTTGCCATTATTCTAACAGCCAGTGCCAACCCTCGTGCGGTCAGTAACTCTGTAAAACTGCTGAAGAAAAAGGCCATCACTACACTGACAGTAGCACTGGGCCCGTTTGTAAACTTGGGCCAGATTAATGATATAACCAAGATCCACCCAGGAAACCGAGCCTACATACTTAACAGCCCAGCGGAACTGTCTGATAACCTGTTAGGGCTGACCGATCACCTTTGCACGTTAGGAAAGGAGCCTGAGGTGCCAAAAGCAGCAGTGACTAAAACGCCTCCCCGTCAACCGAACCCAACGCACCTGGTCCCAAGTATTCCTACACTCGCCGCACCTTCTAAACTGGCTCCCGTTCCGAGCATTTCGTCGTCCACAACGTCAGTCAGAGATGTCACGTTTATCATAGAAGGCTCCGATTCGGTTGGCGAGGAGAACTTCAACAAGTCACTGAGTTTCATAAACGACGTTGTGACTCAAATGACTGTAAAAGAGGAGGTTATAAGGATTACAGTCATCCAGTATTCCGTCACAGTGACTGTGGAGATCAGTGGGTGGGAGTTAACGAGACAGAGAACCATGCTGCTGCAGCGACTGAAGGAGATTCGTTGGAGAGGTGGAAGCCAGACCAACACGGGCACGGCTGTTGTTCAGACCTTGAAAAAAACTCATATCACCCAGACTTCTCAAGGCCACACCCGTCCTGACCTTGTTTTCCTAGTGACAGCAAATCCACCGACTGACACCGTGGAACTCTCATCATCTAGCACAACCTACACCCAAGTGCAATCTATCGGCGTTGGACCAAAAGTGAATGAGGAGATCTTGTTCAAATATAGCTTCCCCAATCGTCCAATAATGGTTCCCGCTTACAATAATTTGACCAACCTGGTTCCCATCATTATCAATATTGCAAAGACCAGAGTCAGTCTACAGTCTCCTACACTGCCACCACTGGTCGTCTCCACCCTCTCCAGCCTACCATCCTCAGGTGTGGGAGAGGAGTCTGTTTGATTCATCAATCCACGTAAAAGCTTGAACCAACGTTTTATTTATGCGTGTTTATGTTGTTTTTTCCAGTGCCATGTAAGAAGCCTGTAGACGTGTTGTTTCTGTTGAAGGCTGGAAAGCAGTTTGAAGACATGAAAACGTTTGTCAAACTGTTCATCAGGAACGCTGACATAGGTAGGTTTCACTTTTAACCTAAATAACATTAACCCTCGTGTTGTCCTTTGGGTTTAGGTGAACCGGTGGTTAATTTATACCATATACCATATATACCATATATATATACACTGTATGTATATATAAATACTGTATATATATTTTTTTGTGGTTACATTTACATTTTCATTGAACTTACTTGCAGCAGTGGTCTTTTCAATAACTGGATGATTTGAGATAATCTGTTTAATTTGTGTTTCTTTTCACAAGGTTTTGGGGTTTTCCATTCCACTCCGGGTTTTACTGAGCACCCTATACTTGTTCATTACCTTTTTCTTTTTTTTTTGTATACAGGAATAAAGGATACACAGGTCAGTGTAGTCCAGTACGGAGATATCAACATGGCAGAGGTCGCATGGAAAGATGGACAAAGCAAATCAAAACTCCTGAAGCTGCTTGAAGGCATACAGAGCATGAGCACAACCCGATCTAATTTAGGTATTGTATGTGCACAACACACAAGTATTGTAAAGTTTGGTTGCATAAAGTGTTGTTAAAATATTGAAAAACCCCTTGCCTTCATCAGATTCAGATCACTAATGTCAATTCATAGTAGGGCTATCTATCTTTTTCTTTTTTGTTTCAAATCCAAACGGTGAAATAATTTGATATGGAAAAGTGCAGAGCATAACTCCAAAATCTTTATTGTACATGGTTATTGGATTTTAGTCATTAGTCTGTGTTCTGACCTGAAGTTGAAGTCCCCCATGTAAAGATGCTATTTTATGCAAAAACACATTGAACAACAATTTAACCCTTTCATGCATGACGGTCACTACAGTGGACAGCTATTAAAATGCCATTTTCTATTATAAAGAATAGGTTTTGATGGCAGTGTTGCATATAAGCCTCTACAGTGGACGCCTGAGAATCACCCAACACTGCCATACAGTGGTCAGCCTTTGCAACTGCAGAATAATTGTGTCAACATTCAAAAAGAAAATTTGGTGTATAAAAACAGAACCAAATCAGTTCTTATTTTTATGTCTAAAAACACATAAAAACACTTAGTAACATTTTTTTAACTCAGTATATCATGGGTCATGCATCAAAGGGTTAAACAACGGGTAAACAATGGGGGTATGGTTTTACAGTAGTGTCAGAAAAATTCAATTCAATTATGTATTGAATGTAAAATGTTAATTTAGGGTACCTAATATAACCATGTTTAAAAAAAACAGTCACTGATAAACACTCTCTAAATTCTGGATATTTTACCTGTCTCCAGGGTCTGCACTGCAGTTTGCCGTGCGGATGTCTATATCATCGTCCTTTGGTGGACGTGTTGGTATACCAAAGGCTGTGGTGATGTTGGTGACTGACAAATCAACCGACGATGTGAAAGAGGCTGTAAATGAAGCACTGGCAGCAGGTAAACAAGCCACAAACTTTCCTTTGCACCTGCATGTGCATGTTTAGAGCTTATCCAGTGACTCTTTGTCCGTCTGTCTCTTAGTAATAATGTCTTTTAGTTCAACTTTTCTGCATTTGTTTTGTGCTCCTGAGAGTATCTATATTTCCTTTTCTATCTATCTGTCTATCTGTCTATCTATCTATCTATCTATCTATCTACCTATCTATCTATCTATCTATCTACCTATCTATCTATCTATCTATCTATCTATCCATCTATCTATCTATCTATCTATCTATCCATCTATCTATCTATCTATCTATCTATCCATCTATCTATCTATCTATCTATCTATCTCTCTCTCTATCTATCTATCTATCTATCTATCTCTCTCTCTATCTATCTATCTATCTATCTATCTCTCTCTCTATCTATCTATCTATCTATCTATCTCTCTCTCTATCTATCTATCTATCTATCTATCTACCTACCTACCTACCTATCTATCTATCTATCTACCTACCTATCTATCTATCTATCTACCTACCTACCTATCTACCTACCTATCTCCCTACCTATCTACCTACCTACCTATCTACCTACCTATCTACCTACCTATCTATCTATCTATCTATCTACCTATCTATCTATCTATCTATCTATCTAGCTCTCTATCTATCTATCTATCTATCTATCTAGCTCTCTATCTATCTATCTATCTATCTATCTCTCTCTCTATCTATCTATCTATCTATCTATCTCTCTCTCTATCTATCTATCTATCTATCTATCTATATACAGTATATATATTATTTTATTTTTATTTTTAATTTTTTTTTGGTGTTGTGCTGACATATATATTTCCAATTTAAAAAACGGGCTGTAGCTCCAAAAAGGGTTGGGAAACATTGACCTAGAGGGCCTCAAATTATTTAGCACCAGACATCGTACGTGTATGGTGCATTCGGAGTCAACCTCAAAGGTTTTGGCAGAGACTCCACCACATGGCTGTGCCTAGAGATTATATAATCTATAAAAAATAATGAGCAGACCTTGTGATTGTGATTGAGAGTCTGACCTGTCTGAAATATTCCGCATTAAACAGTAAACTAATCAAAAGCATTAAAAAAAAAGTCATGTCCTCTCTTTGTCTCTTTTCTTTAGCCTCTTCGTTTCAGTCTCTTACTCTCTCTCCTTATGAACTGAGGCTATGACTTAAGAATGCCTCAGATCACAACTTAGTTTCCTTTTATGTCATCAGGCGTGTCAGTTTTTCCCATTGGGGTGGGTCCATACTATGACAGACAGGAGCTTGAGCTGCTTGGACACCATGGCAACCAAGAAAACATCCTGCACATAAACAGCATGGATAATTTATTGACATTGCTGACTCTGGACCATGGATACACAGAGAGGATCTGCAGAGGTACACAGTGAATTTCTTAGGTTTCCTTTTATGAAATCCATGTCAAATAACATTATTGAAAATGTATTTGGAAAATGTCTGTGCTTTTTCTCTAAGCTGGTCCACCGGCAGTGTGTGTTGATGATGATGGAATTGAGAGAAAAGTAAGTTACATCTGCCAAAATAAATTTATACTTTACAGTTAAAAATCAAGAGCTTCAGCGGCCGATTTATTTTGATTTTTTTTTTTTTTTTTTATGCCTTAGCCTGGTGAGACATGGCTACTGGAGGATGGCTGCCATTTTCTTCTGTGCCACCCTAGCGGGAAAGTGGTCATGCAGAACCACAAAGTCAACTGTGACAGACTGGAGCCACCGGTTTGCAGACAGAACATAACACCTGTGAAAGTTCGGGATGCCTGTGGCTGCCATTGGGAATGCCCATGTATGTATTAAGAAGGGTAAAATTACTACATGAAATATTATCATACACTGTCTGACGTGCCCTCAGTACATGCCCTTAACATACTGTATGTTCAGAAACCAGTGAGTTTAAACCTGAACTGGAAATAGTTTATCTATGTAACTATTTTTATTATATAAATATATTATATAATAATTATATATATATATTATATAATAAGTAGAAAATCTAGATTCATATGGAGTTTTTTTTCTTAACAAATCTGGTCAAATTCTGGACTTCATTAAACATCCTGGTGTTTTCACATGAAGCCTACTGTATAACACTGCTGTATGTATTTGTATTTATTTGGAATTATTTATACAGATACCTATAAATATGTGCACAAAATCAAATTACCAAATGTTTCTATAAGTTTATATGAATTTCTTATTCAATGGAACCTCAAGAGACGAGCATAATCCGTTCCAGAACCGAGCTCGTAACTTGAGGTCCTTGCATAACAAAAATAAAATTAATCCGTTACGGCCCTCTAAAAAAAACTCCCTAATTACTGCTAATAACAATGGGGGAAAAAAACGTTCTTACCTTCGAGACAGACAATAAAGTAGCGGCTAGGAAGGGAGTGAAGAGAGTTGGCCTGTACATAGACACTTGATTTTATACCGAACCTTACACGTACACTACGTAACTTACACTACGTATTTATCGACAATTTTATGCTTTATTTCCATGGTCATCATGCATTTCTTCTTCTCACTTACCATGCTTAGACACACGTATTTTAAAGGTTCCACTGTAATTGTCTTATTTTTCAGTTTGAGAATAAAATCTTTGTTTTAGAAAGACAAATGGATTGGTGAAACATACTGCAGAGCTCTTATCTGATTTGTGTTTGCGTTGACAGGCATGTGCATGGGCAGCTCCACAAATCATGTGGTGAGATTTGATGGGTTGGCACTCAGGCTCGACAGGGAGGGTCAGTGTTCCTACACCCTCCTCAGTATCGGCAGCAGCGTCAATGAAGGATCCGAAATCAAACTCCACAGTGGATCTTGTCAAAACTCTGAGGCCTTCAACAACATGTGCATGAAAGTCATTGAAGTCATTCAGGGCACACATAAACTTCTGCTGAACGATGATATGACGGTGAGCTGTTCATCTGGTTCGGCTCGGTAAAGTGCTGTGAAGTTAATTTAATCTATCCACCCCGCGTGTGTGTTCCCAATGTGCAGGCGGTGTTTGACGGCGAAGAACTCGCCTTTCCATGGCGACATGGTGGACTTGAGCTGGTCCGTTTCGGTGGAGTGATGCTGCAGCTGAAATCGGACAACGGCTATGTCCTTTCTTTCACTCCGCAGAGCAATGAGTTCACCATCACGATGTTGGATTCGTCAAATAGCAGCTACACTGCTGGACTTTGTGGTAAAACAAACAATGAAAACACTTTTTTTTTTAAATCATACTTCTACTTTCCACTCTCTCCGGAAGATACAGGGATTCTTTTTTTTTTTCAGCAATTTCTGTGTCTGTCCTTGCTGTCTTCACTTTTACTTAATTCATCACGATGCTTTCCTAATTCCAGAGGAGGTAGTACTAAAGTATTAGAAAAATGTGATTATATAAAATTATCTTTGCTTTGCTTAAATTCTACAAAAGTAAAAGTACCCATCAAAACATCTGCTCGAGCAAAAGTAAAACAATATTTCATTTGAAATTTTACTTTGAATCATAGTAACTTAGTTCCTTTAAATTGATGCAAGAAAAGACAAAGTCAAACATTCAGTCTGCAACTACCATATCTTCCGCACTTTATGCTTTGGCTAGGTTTGCTCCTTATACTCAGGTGCGACTTATATATTAAAATATATATTTTCACATCTTTGTTATTTTCACACTGACAGCCACTCGAGGGCACTCTAGGCTTGTATAGCAGTATCTGCTACGACTGTAGTTACATGTTTTATACTGTTAATTGAAACGTCACATGTTTGTTATTTTCACACTGACAGCAGCTAGAGGGCACTCTATCTGGCTAGTGCAACTTATATATGTTTTTTTTCTTCTTCATTTTGCTTTTTTTTTTGTCTCTTGCGACTTGCGACTCCAGAGTGACTTGTCGGGCCGGAAAAAAACAGTCGTTGTTTTTAATCAACAAATCAATTACAAAATTCACTCCGATGTCAGTGGTAGTATTATCGCTTCTATCACGATGTATTTTTCCAATCACTTCTTCTTACTTTCCTATAGGTGGGTGCCAGCAAGAGCACGTCAACAACCTTTCATTACGAAATGGCAGCGCCACCACGGACAAGCCAGCCTTTATCACGGACTGGACCACAGCTGGAGATGCATATGTGTGTGTTCCAAAACAGAAGCTGTTATGCATGCGCTCTGCAGCGACAGGATGTCAGGCCCTGCGTTTGGAGGCATTCGAACCCTGCCATTCGCACATTCCCGTTCACGTATTCCTTTCCAAGTGCGAGGAGCAGGCATGTGACGAATCCGACGTGTGTGAAATCATATCCGCCTATGCACGCCTCTGTCGACAGAGAGGAATATGTGTGAACTGGAGGAGCCCCCGCCTCTGCCGTGAGTCCCTTTGGATGCACATGTCCGTGTGTTTCACTTTCTGCATTACCAAACTAAAACTACGCCTTTTTTTTTTTTTTTTTTTGATTGACAGCATTGTCATGCCCTAGCTCCATGGAGTACGATGCTTGTCGAACGGGTTGTGTGGAGGATTGTGGGAGCGTGCTGACATCGCGCGGCGACTTGCCATTTGCCAGTCGTAACGAATCATCATGCATGGAGACTCCCGCTGAGGGTTGTTTCTGTGCTGGAGGGATGATCTGGCATCATGGACAGTGTGTATCCCCAGAAGTGTGTAGGCAGTGTGTGGACCACCTTGGACTTGCGCATAAGGTGGGAAATAGTGATGTCTTACTCACTTATGGTGGTTTGGTTTATTGAACTTTATTCTTATTTAACTGTATTTGCGTCCCTTGGATGTGTGCAGTGTTGTCTCGCTAATTGTCAAAATGAGTTTTGTCATTCATGTTATATTCACGGTGGCGTTTGGCCAATAGGCAATGTCTCTGTCATTGGTGTGGAACCCCAGGGTTCACCTCCTGGGCAAGTTCGAATCCCGGTTAGGGCGGTTGGTACGGTGCAATGTGATTTGGGTGGCGACTGCTGCCCCCGCGACCCGGTAACGGATAAGCGGATGAAAATGGATGGATGGTTAAATTCACGTGTCCTCTACCAGGATTGTTCATTTGTGATTCACGTGTCCTCTACCAGGATTGTCCATTTGTGACAGGCAGCTTAAGCTGAACAGATTCGTTCTCACGGATTCGTTCAAAGATCCGTTCTCACGGATTTGTTCAAAGATTAGTTTTTGCTGATCTATTCAAAGATCCGTTATCGCAGATTCGTTTAAAGATCCGTTCTCACGCATTCGTTCAAAGATTCGTTTTTGCTGATCCAATCAAAGATCCGTTATCGCAGATTCGTTTAAAGATCCGTTCTCACGCATTTGTTCAAAGATTCGTTTTTGCTGATCCAATCAAAGATCCGTTATCGCAGATTCGTTTAAAGATCCGTTCTCACGCATTTGTTCAAAGATTCGTTTTTGCTTATCCAATCAAAGATTCGTTATCGCAGATTCGTTTCAAGATCCGTTCTCGCAGATTCATTCTCAGATTCATTTACAGATTCGTGCATTTTGCGGATTTGTTTCATTTGTCACGTGACAGACAGCTCGGGTCTTTTTTGCTCTCGACCATCTTAGTCATTGGTTCGAATTGCTTTTGGCATTTTGTGTATTAGACTTTGTCTAGTCTAATAGATGCAAACCATGTTGCCTTCAGTATTTAGTGTCGGAGAACCGCAGCCTTCTTTACAACAGCCACAATAGGGCTACAAAATGAATGAAATGATTCGTTCACGATTTGTTCATTTTACTGTTCAAGAGTCAAAAACCCGAGTGGGAAAGAATAAAGTTGTTTAAATAATTATGACGCATGCAAATTAAATATAAATAAAATAATGAAAATCTACTTTATAATTTACGGAGGAGAAAAGTTGCATTACTCTTATTTTGATCATGATCAATGAAAAACAGAATGCATATAACTTTCTTTTTTTTCTCATACAGTACATGGAGAGCTGGGTACCTGCTGAAAACCCATGTATGATTTGCATGTGTTTAAACCAACAAAGAATCAACTGCACTGCTCGGCCATGCAGCGATGTCAAACGTAAGCCAAACAATCCCTCCAGTTTGGTCAAAGTACTACAGAGACACTAGCGTGATTTAAAACTATGTATCTCTCTCTGTGTGTGTGTGTGTGTGTGTGTATAGCCCCAATATGTGGACCATGTGAGGTCCTGAAAGAGGAAAGGGGAACCTCATGCTGCCCAGAGTTCAAGTGTGGTATGTTTTTTTTTTTTAATACATATCATACATTTTTTAATACCAATTTCCAAATCCAAAGTTATCACGAATTATGTCATTCTATTTGTTATAGTGTGTCACTATGTTACAAAAACAAAAAGGGCAGTGTTTTCCAAACACTTGAACACATTTGACATTAGAAAAATCCCACAGTGTACCACCAAACAAAGATGATGCAAAACATATATTTGGCAAAAATGATCATCTAGTTTCAATTTGGTCACAATTTACCTAGTGTGAAACCTTGGCCTGTTTAGTTGAACGCAATGCTGATACACTTGCAGGAATTGAGGAAAGGCACCTATAAGATAAAAGTGTCTATTTTTTTAGTTTATATACACCGCCATCTGCTGTTAAATGGTGGAAGAGTACTTAATTGTTCTGTTTTTGAAACAGGTTGTTTTTTAGGAAAGTAAACTTTCTATAGGCTTTTGCTCATTGTCAACTTTTAGTCAACTTGAAATACTTGAAATACTACGTAAAAAAAAAAAAAAATATATAGTTCAAGACGTGTGCGGTAGAAACAACTCAATTACTGTGACTTTTAAGTATGTGATCCGGTGAACTGTAAGCATCCTGAAATACCACGCTGTGAGGACGGTCAGACTCTCGTTCTGGAAAACCCTGGAGAATGCAACCCTATACACATGTGCGGTAGGATTTTTATTTATTTATTTATTTTCAATTTTATGAGATAAATAGAATTTGAGAGAGAGAGGGAAAAAAAGACCTCATGTATGTACACTTAGATAAGTAGAATTTGAGAGAGAGAGAGAAAAAAAGACCTCATGTATGTACACTTCATTTGTCTCTACCAGTTTGTAACCGAACGGAATGCCCTCTTCAAGCTCCGCCCGCCTGCCCAGCCCATCGCCGACTGGTTGTCAAAAAGTCAAAGTGCTGTGATATGTTTGAGTGTGTGTGCAGTTGCACGAACTCAACTAACACCTGCCAGGTTGGGTTCATAATGTCGTCCAAAGTCAATGACTGCGGCTGTGTGGAAGTCAGCTGCGTGCCGGACAAAGTAAGTGTGTTAAAATCTCAAATGTGCAACTTTCCCATTTGTGTTGACGTCGCGCCGCTGCACTAATCTGCTAGCCTAATATGCGTCATGAGTCCAAGCAATTTTAGTTACATCTCTAGCTAGGTAGGAGGAGTCTATTGACAGGAGGATTAAATGTGTTTTAAGTGGTCAACAAAATTCGTCATGCTGACCATGTCACATTTTAAGCATAATAACACTAAATAGTTAGTTATCTTTCAAGCTCTGGTCCCTGGTGGCTTAACCCTTTCATGCATGAGGGTCACTACAGTGGACAGCTATTAAAATGTAATTTTCTATGATAAGGTTTTGATGGCAGTGTTGCATATAAGCCTCTACAGTGGATTCTCAGGCGTCCACTGTAGTGACCGTCATGCATGAAAGGGTTAAGCATAACGGAAAAGCATCCCAAATGAAACCTGCTTATTCAAATACACCAGGTAAAGAACTCGTAACCCTTGTTATGATGCTGTCAAAAAGACAAAAGGACCACATGGACGCATCTGAGAGAAGACGCTAGTTTGATGACGTGTCGGATTAGAAGTTAATAGATAAGACGGAAAGCTCAAGTTGAACAGAGGAGAGCTAGGGCTAAATCCTTCAGTTATTTCTATTTATTGCCCGTTGTTTGTGTGTGTTCTTTTCTAGGTTTGTGTTGTCGGCGAGGTAATTCACGTGGTAGGAAGCGAGTGGAAAGAAGGATGTGAGAAGTGTAGCTGCACCCAGCTGCAGGACAAAAGGACATCTCTGCACCTCGCTCAGTGTACGCCACCAGTGTGTGATCAGATGTGTCCTCAGGTGGGACATTCACACAAACACTGAGATTTATGTTTCGTGAGGATCCCAGGAGACATTGAGCAAGAACCTAGCCTGTTAACCTAACCTTAACTAAATAAATGTCTAATCCCAAACTCTAATCCCTCAAAAATGCCCCTCAAAGGGATTAACCCTTTCATGCATGACGGTCACTACAGTGGACAGCTATTAAAATGTCATTCTCTGTAAGAATAGGTTTTGATGGCAGTGTTTCATATTAGCCTCTACAGTGGATTCTCAGGCGTCCACTGTAGAGGCTAATATGCAACACTCCCATCAAAACCTATTCTTATCATAGAAAATGACATTTTAATAGCTGTCCACTGTAGTGACCGTCATGCATGAAAGGGTTAAAATGCAAAACGTCAACTGTTCAATGGCTGCTTGTTTTCCTTTAACTTCAAAGGGATCCGCATACACATCAATTGCAGGAGAATGCTGTGGAAAGTGCACACCCTCCAGCTGTTTAGTGTCAAAGGCATCTATGCGAGGGGACACAATGATTGGTGGACAGCTCAGAAATGTAAGTGTTGAGGAATAATACAAGACCAAATAGTAACTACATTTTTTTTTTTTTAGAAATGAATAAACGTCAAAAAAAAAAAGTCATTGTTGCATCCAAATCCATTTACGCAAAATCAAAACCGGCTCTCTTTAAGTTGTGGTTACACATAAAAATGTGCATAACATTTAAATGAAGGTTTCAGTTGATTGTTTGTATTCTAACCTCTATATAATCGTCGCAGGTGGGAGAAAAGTGGACGTCTTCGAATGATCGATGTGTCCAACATGAATGTGTGAAGGTGGGAAATGAAGTGTTTATCACTGCAAGTAACGTAAGCTGCTCTACCCTGGAAACTTCATCTTGCCCACTCGGAACTGAGTTACGATGTGACACCCGAGACTGCTGTCCACACTGCCACTGTGGTAAACACGCATGCGATACTTAATAATAATCATACTGACGCAAATGAAAGAAAGCATAAATGTAAAAATGAAAAATAAACTGATACTTGATTTTTTTTTCTTTGTGCAGCTCCATTAAATGTATGCGTGCTCAACAATACAATCATCGGAGTAAGTCATGTAGCAAAATAATTCTTTTACATAATAATATGGACATTTTTATTTTTTTAAGTGCTTTATCCTGATCTTGTGTTTTTTTCCAGGCAGGTGAGCAACTGATGGTAGATTTATGCACACGCTGTGACTGCACAGTGGAGGGTTCTGCCGTGAGAAAAGCTAGACTCTCCTGCAGGAGAACCCACTGTCCTGTCTGTCCAAAGGTAACCCTAATCTAAGTTCTGTCATTCATATAGTCAGTATTATAATCAAAGATTGTTTAACCCTCTAGACCAGGGGTGACCAATAATTAGATCGAGATCTACCAGTAGATTGTAATGAGTGGACTGGTAGGTCATAAACATGGAAAGTGGAGTTGGGTAAGAATAAAGTAAGAATAAAATCATATTGTGCCATACAGCTATATGTATTTGATCAGTACCCCAATATTTAACATGTATATGATGTGTGTTTAGTTTATGTGAGTACCGGACTATAAGCCGCTTCATCCTTTGGCTGGGTCTGCAACTTATATATTTTAAAATATATAATTTCTACTACATATATCATATATATATGATGTATGTTCAGTTTATGTGAGTACCGGACTATAAGCCGCTTCATCCTTTGGCTAGGGTAGATCACTTTAGTCTGGACATTTGAATAGTAGCTCCCAAGCCAAAAAAAAAAACCCAAAATTTAGACACTGCTCCTCTAGTTTTGTCCTTGTTCATAGTTTAGGAAAAAATTACTGCTACATATTTTACAAGAATATAAAAATACTACATATATCATATATATATGATGTATGTTCAGTTTATGTGAGTACCGGACTATAAGCCGCTTCATCCTTTGGCTAGGTCTGCAACTTATATATTTTAAAATATATAATTTCACATTTGGTATTTTGACACTGACAGCCGCTAGAGGGCACTGGTGCAACTTATACTCCGGAGCGACTTATAGTCCGGAAAAAATACTGTATATACTGTATATATAGTAAATGCTTTTAATGTAGGTAGATCACTTTAGTCTGGACATTTGAATAGTAGCTCCTAAGCCAAAAAAAAAACCCAAAATTTAGACACTGCTCCTCTAGTTTTGTCCTTTAGGAAAAATTACTGCTACATATTTTACAAGAATATAAAAAAATACTTACCACAATGTTTCATTTAGGGATACACGCTGCAGAAGGAGGAAGATGCGTGCTGTGGTCGCTGTGTTGCCACTGACTGTTTCATCCAAGGTTCTGCTGGAGAAGTAATCAGTATGCAGGTTTGTGCTTGCTAACTAATGACAAATGTCAAACAAAAAAAAATTTAAAAATGGAGGTATATTCTGAAAATGACAATTTTCGCTAATGCATTTTAATTTGAATTGATGATACCGATCCGGCCTGCAGGGTGTGTGTAGAGATGGAGATCTATCTTTTTGATTTAAACGTGACTGTAGTATGTCTGACGAGAGTGTCTCTGTACTTTAAGGTGAACACAACAAGGGAGGACGGCTGCAACAGTTATACCTGCAGTGTAAATTGGAAAGGGGAATTGATATTGCAGACAAAAGTGACAACCTGCCCTCCATTTAACCGCCAAGCCTGCATTGATGAAGGGGTAAGAAAAAAAAAAAACTAGCCCTGCAAAAACTTTGACATCTGTCATATCTTCCAAATTTCTTATCCTGCACTCTTGGTTTTTTTTAGGGCAAAATCAGCCGAATAGGAACAACATGCTGTGAGATTTGTAAGTTGAACAGTGTCCTGTGCCAAAAAATGAATTTGATGGAATGGATGCTTTACATTGGTCCATTTTTTTAACACGCCAACTCGCATTTGTAAAGGCACAGAGCCACAATGTAGGAAGATGGTTGGAACACTGAACTACATCAAAGTGGAGGACTGTCAATCAGAGCAGCAGATAGAAATCAACTACTGTGAAGTGAGATATTACAAACACACACACTCACTCTCACTCTCTCCTCTGCTGTGTTTTTTATGTTCTTTTTTTACTCATGTGTTTCTGTGTTTATTAGGGCAAATGTCACAGCAAGTCCATGTACTCCCTGGAACGGCTCGCTGTGGAACAGGAATGCGTGTGCTGTGCTGCTTTACAGACGGAGCCCATCGCCGTCCCTCTCCTGTGTGCAAATGGCACTCGCAGTCATCACACCGTCCTGTCAGTCACCGCATGCGACTGTCTTTCCAAACACTGTGCGTAGAGCGAGAGGGAGAAAAGAAGGGAGAGAATGATAGAATGAGAGGGCGAGTTCAAATGAAACAAAAACGTGTGTAACCCAGTATAAAATGTAACACATTTCACAAATAATGAAAGCAAACCTTCCAGTAACAATTTTTTTGTTACTTTCCTTTTGTTGCATTTATTCAATCCTTTGTTACTTATTCCTGTTTAGAATCATATGTAGGCCAAGTTGAAGTACCGTATTTTCCAGACTATAAGTCACTTTTTTTGTTTTTCATCCTTTGGCTGGATTTGCGACTTATATTCAGGTACAAGTTACATATAAAAATACCTAATTTCACGTTTGTTATTTTCACACCGACAGCCGCTAGAGGGCACTCTAGGCTTGTGTACCAGTATCTGCAACTGCTGTACCAGTAAAAAATTAGCTTGTTCGTAATTTTCACACTGACAGCCACTAGAGGGCACTGGTGCAACTTGTAGTCTGGAACAATTTATATGTATTTTTCTTCTTCATTAGAGGTGCGACATATACTGCATATACTACAACTTATAGTCTGGAGAATACAGTACACACTAAACAGGTCACTGGTCTATCACAGGTCTATTATAGTGCAATTTGAAGATACACTTTCATTTCCACATATAACTAGAATGTATCTGTAATAACTGATGCTGGCAGACTATAGACAACGTCTGTTGTCGATTTGGAAATTTCTGAGCTTATTAAAAAATAACAGCAACTCTCAACTTTGTGAGCAAGGATAGGCTGTCATCATTTCTTTATCACGCAGTATTATAGTTTTTTTTTTTTCTTATTAATGAAACCTTAGTTTATTCTGTTGTGTAATCCATCAACAACAACAGAAAACTTCACAGGATCTTTGTGATTTGAGTTGGTGGCAGTGGCGGCTTGGTGGTTAAGGAAGTGAACTACTTGTCTGGATTGTAACGAAACAACGTTTAAAAGTACCTTTTCACAACATCAGATCTTTAAAAACATGGCCGATGACTGTGGTCATTTTGAGTTGTAGCCGTGGGTATTAGCACGCTACTACTACTATACTACATCTTGGATGGCACTCCAAATTTCTGCAGTCATAATGCATGAAAGCGTTTCATTTTCTATCGTCACAAATGTCATCCCATTTTTCCAAATAAAAAGATCTATAGATAGATAGATAAATAGATACACAGACAACAAAGTGATAGCAGAATAAAATGTATATTAAAAAAATTTATAGATAATCAGTTTAGAAAGTAGTATAAACTGTATTGGTAACAGTGTATAAATAGAAGCCGCATAGACAATAAAAATAAAGAGCACCACTGTTGTACTATTCTCATACATGTCCAGCACCAAACTAACATCCTTCTCTGCCACTCCTGACTTCCTCATACAAAACCACAATTCCTCCCTTGGCACTTTGTCATATGCCTTTTTTAAATCTACAAACACACAGTGTAGCTCCTTCTGACCTTCTCTGTACTTCTCCATTGGCATCCTCAAGGCAAATATTGCATCTGTGGTACTCTTCCTAGGCATGAAACCATACTGTTGTTCACAGATCTCCGCTTCCTGCCGCACCTTAGCTTAACATATTACATTGATTGCACACATGGAGTCACTGTTCTCCACTACAAATCTCCACTTCCTGCCTCACCTTAGCTTAAAATATTACATTGATTGCACACATGGAGTCATTGCTGTGAGAGGCATCGCTCCGTCTATGTTTGCAGATGATCTCATTCTCTAATGTTTCACATATTTTTTTTCCGAATGCTCAGCTGAGTCACAGTGTTGTTTTTCTTTTGGTTGACTCTCTGTGTGCATACCAGCCAACTCGTCTGTCCTGTTGAAGCAAGCACTTTGTGAGGTCTGTCTGTCTCCCCCCCCCGCTTGTGTCTACGGTGTCTCAGTCATCACACTTACCTGTGTCTCTGTCATTAAAACCTCTGGTGTCACCTGGTGCGCTTGGTTTATGCACCTCCCTCCCTCACTCTGTCTTGTGTCTAGTGCTGCATTTGGATGCTGCCTGCATCCCGACATTACAACACTTTTTTTTGTTTCCTGGTTTTTGTTTATATACATAGGTTAAAAGAAATTCTTGGGTGTTGTTGGGTGTTGGGTGAGCCAATCAGCGTGCGGAACAGTAGAGCATGCTCAATTAGCCAATAGTACACCGAGTGCGAATTGTATTAGCCAATAGTATGCGGTGTACGATCTCGTCCAGGTAAACAAAGTTACCAGCGATCATTTCAGCGATCAATTTCAAAACGAGAACCCACACTTTTTTAGCCAAAAAAAAAGATCGGATTTTTAAAAAAAAAAAAAATTTGCGATGTACTGAGGGAGCGAAAGGAGAACCGCGATATAGAGAGGGAACACTGAATCAGGTTCTATTTTAAAATAATCGAATTGTTGAATAATCTAATTGTTGAAATAATTCAATTGGCAATGAGACTGTCAGCGTAGTAAACACAAACAAATGCTGATACATGCGTAACATCTGGTTACTAAAATTGGAACATAGAGGCTGATCATAACTGCAGTTAGGTTACATGGGTAACTTAATTCTACTGAGGTCAACACTGATACAATAATGGTCAACAGATGTTAAATAATAACATGCAAGCTATGATATAACAGGATAAAAAAACACACTGAGGATAAATATAACACCGAGAAAGAAATGTGAAACAGTGAAGTTGCTCACAGTTGCTCAAAAATTCTAATATAAAGTAACATGTATTTGAAATGTGATATCAAACACGTTCTCTTCACGTCCACGTTCTAACATGGGATATTTACACAGAAAGGTGTTACACAGAACTTTTTTTTTTTTTTTTTTTTTTTTTACTTTTAATTAAATAAATGCTTTTTTTTCCCCGAACAGTGCCCGTAACACGGCTGGTTACACGTTAGCGCTTTCCTAGAGCCCCGACCGTAGTTGGAATACACAAGGGAGACTTAGTGATCTGCTACAGACAAAGACTACTAGTACAACACACAGTAGCCTACAGGAAAAGTTATTAATCGTTAGCAGTATGAACTTCTAAAAAAATCTCTAAATTAACCGCGTCATTGTTAAGCCACAGGGTTCAAAGCGCGTGAAAAAAAAGAAGCGGCTTATAGTCCGAAAATTAGGGTATATATAAACCAAATCTGGAACCTTAAAATATCATTACACTCAGGGGACCTGCAAGTAGAGTACATTTGTCCCCACAAGTGTTTTGTCCAATATGCTGTTTATTTATTGTATTTATTGCATTTTAAGATTATAAAACATAACACATGACAAAACAAACAAACAAAAATCCATTTGTCGCTGGCCAACTGCTTTTCGTTGGTCCAAATCTGTAGCAACTTTTCGACTTCTTCTAATCGTCTGAGATCTTTGCTTGGTGATCACAGTCACTCCTTTGGCGACCTTAGCTTCTTTTATTGCTTCCTTGTACTTAATGATGGTACAAATCAACGACTTTGCCCTGCCATACCATAAAGCCAGATCTGAAACACAAGCGCCATTGTTAAGATTTCGTATAATCTTTCTTCACCGCTATTGTTGTTCTCACCATTTTTCTTTCCGTCTTTCCACTTTCACTAGCTTTTTTAGGTACCATGGTGATTTATGGAATAAAAAATAAAAAAAAGAAATAGCACAATGCAAGAAATACCGGCAAAATCAGACAACAGAGTGCAGACTGACACCGCACACTCAGTCAAGTGATGTGCTATGTCACAATGACAAATAATTCACTTTAGTTTAACTTTTAACTCGGTGATCACTCGCTGCCCGTCTGATATTGTTGGCTTGTTCGGCGACCGAGTTATGGTATAACTTGGTTAAAAAATTGTGATTTTTGTGAACCAAATTGACCGACGTGATTGTACGCATGCCTGAAAGCTTGGGTGACGCCAAGAAATCTGATTGTTTAAAGAAAGTATTTCATTGCTCTATCCAAACCCCCAGGCAATAGATGAAGACTGAAATATGATTGGATAAAACACTTGATTGGATAAAACACACAAAATCACAGATTTGCTGTTCTTTTTTTTTTTTTGACTCTAAATTGACACTGATTCATTGCTGTCTAACCAAAAAATATGGGGTACTTCGTCCAAACCAATGTGTTTGATGATGATGACTTCTGACACTTGGCCAGACAAGCCTTGCGGTCCATCAAGGCCCGCCTCCCTGCAGATCTACATCCCCAACAGTTTGCATACAGACCCAACTGCTCAACATAGACGTCATTTCCACTGCAATCCACATCACACTGTCACATCTAGAGGGAGTGGGAAAAAGTAGTCTTCGTCATGTTTCTGTATATTTATAGACTTTTAACTATTTACAGCGAAACATTAAGAAACGAAACCTAATTTGAATGCGATACGTAAAAAAAAAAAATACTTGAAAAAGTAGTCTTCGTCACGTTTCTGTATATTTATAAACTTTTAACTATTTACAGCGAAACATTAAGAAACAAAACCAAATTTGAATGCGACACGCAAAAAAATATTGTTTTATGGCTTCTATTCAACATGGAAAGTGTTTTTTATTACAATAAAAAATACCAATACACAGAAAAATCGAATATAAATGAGTAATATTAAGCAAATATATAAAAGAAGCACAGGTATCCCCGTTTCTAGAGTTTTCCTTTGCAGTCTCCCGCCCTCCAGTTTCGCTCTCCGGGGTATCCCCGTTTCTAGAGTTTTCCTTCGCAGCGACTACCCTCGTCTCCCGCCCTCCAGTTTCGCTCTCCGTTTGCAGCGCCCCCTTCCCTCCGCCTCCCCAGAATGAAGTTATACGTCTCTGTGAAGTTCCTCCGCCTCCCCCGAATGAAGTTATACGTCTCTGTGAAGTTACACTTCAAAGGATGCTAACCGTTTCTCGGTCTGACAACTGTAATTTCGCAAAACTCGTCTAAGCTCTAAAACCTCCCCAACAATTTCTAAGCGTCTGAGCAACTATCGTTTGTTTTTTCTTTTAACACAAAATTAAGAAAACACAAGACGAAACACACGGCAACTGGTGTGAAGCTGTTTATAGCTCGACTGAAGCCGCGTACATACACACAGACGCGGGGGCGGGGAGTTTTCAAGCGAAGAGAATTCACTCGCAATACAAATCCGGGCGGATATATCGTTGGTGACAGCGGAAACGAGCATTCTCGCTCTTCCATTCGTGTCTTCGCATTCGCAAACCTTCTTTCGGAGTTCACGTGTCTTTGCGCGTCGACGACCGGCCGATGTTGGACGCGTGTGTTCTAAGCAGTGAGGAAGAAGAGGGTGACTTCATGGAGTAGCCGTGAGCTTAGTCTGCTTCTGACCGACTGTCCTGGTCTTTCTGTGGGTACGGACACTGAGCTGTGTCGCATGAGGATGCAGGCGAAGGAGCAGCAGCCTGCCGACAGCGGCGGCAGCAGCAGCGGTGACAGTCTGCAAACAAAAAGACAACTCAAAAGCTCATCATGCTTCTCTAATATCAAGATATTTCTGATATCGGAATGCGCCCTCATGTTGGCACAAGGCACTGTCGGTGCGTATCTGGTGAGTGGAACGCAGCCCATGCTGCCTTCTTACTTTTTTCGTTTCAAGCAGATGGGTAATGTAATGTGTGTTGGCGTTTAGGATAGAATAGAAACCATTCTTATTGCTGATGCTAAAAGTCTCCAAAAGTCTCTTTTTTTTGTATTTTTTTATTCAACTTTGAACTATTTAGAAATTATTCATCTATTCTCTCACTAACTTTGAGTTTTTATTGCCTGCTTTTGTAAAAAAAAACGCTGGCTTGCACTAGGTTCAAATTGCTAACTAATGTTTTGGCTTTTCTTTCAAATACGATTTTTTTTTATAAGCGGTATACAGTAAAACAAAACTATTAAGGAATCAACAACTCCAGTACTTCGATTGTAGATATCAAAGATTTACACCATAAGCATAATCATGAAATGAGAATAAATATGAACAACACGAGATATTAAAGATTTACACCATAAGCATAATCCTGAAATGAGAATAAATATGAACAACACGAAAAAACTGGCTAGCATGTAGCCATATGTATTGAGTGTTTTGTACCAAACACGTTTTAAGTTACACTTCTGACCAACAAACAGACACTAAACATTGTTATCACTCTGACTTATTTTGCCATTCAGTTCTTTCGAACTTCTGTTAAACTGTAGCTCACACAGCTTCACTTGATATTTGTATTCATTTGCCTAGACAAGCAAATGGGCCCGGTGACCTGTTGGTGCTCATAAGCTGATGAGACCTAATTTGCAAAGACATCAGATATCAAGTCATTTACAATCTGTTGACCCTACAGTCAACGCCATAAGCCTGTGTGCTTTCTCTGATTGGATGATTAGACAAGACGGTTTGCAGGCAGTGATGATACACAGCTGACTGACCCTTTTGAGTTTCCGTTCATGACACTATAATTTTCACTTCAGCACCCTGTGACCACGCACAGCCAATAAACAAAGGTGCAGATACAGTATATAAACTAAAGGTCATTCTCTTTTACCTACTTTGAGTATTTCTCACTGTTTGTCATACACGTAAAGACTTTGATATTATTACTACAGGTTTATGCAATGAATTCTAGTGGAAAAGCATTAAGGCGTAAGTTATGTTACGCAAAGGGATTATGGCAAAACTTGAAAATCCAATTGCTGATTTTTGTATTTTATGTAAGTCTTCATAATAACAAAGACACACTAGATACACAACACTCATTTTCCTTACTCTGAATTGTTACTTTAACCTCGAATGCACACATTGACTGTATACACCTAAATGTTGCCGCCTGTTAAATAAAATATCTTACATTTTTTTATTAGTTACATTTCAAACCTTATTTAAAATTGACATTAAATGAGACAAATTTAATTTGAAATATATAGTTCTGTACAAATTAAACTTGACTTGATTTAAAATTTTGAGGGGAAAAAAAATGTAGCTATAAGATTTCATCTGCAGGAGAGAAGGACATGATGATTTAACTTTCCACAGCATAAAAAACGCATTTATGCAATTAATGGACATTTAGAGAGTAGATGGAGATTGAAGAACAGATTACGTTGATGTGAAAGTTTTCGTATTATCTGAAATTAACAATAAAAGCTAAATGTAGGTACAAATGGCCGGAGACTTGGCAGCATTAGAGTTCAATCGAAAAAAGGCATGTTCCATTTATATCTGTAAATATATTTTAATGTTTGTAATGCAGATCACTTTAGCCTGGTCATTGGAATAGTAGCCCCCAAGTCAAAAAAGTGTGGGCACCCCTGTTCTAAAGAAACGTCTTCCCTCTTTTTATATCCTTCTTCTAAGAAAAATATTACCATCAACAACATCAGAAACTTGTCCTGTCCCCAGTAGCCCCCCCTACCCCCAATTTGTAATCTCACTTTCTGTCTCTCTGCTCTTTAGTGTCCTAGAAACCTTTTTAAAATGATGCACAACATGAAGACATCCACCTGTGTTCTCAACATTTCTTGTCCTGCTGCATTAAAAACTGTCTCCCAGCAGTCTCTGCACTAAAAATAATCAACGTCTCTGTCCCCGGATTCCCCCCAAAAAGCAGCTATTACTTACCATCTCCAAAGACCCATGAACTCTTGGGAAACCTTTAGCCCATTCCAATGCTCGCTTCAGCTGGGTTGCAATAAGGCTGACATGATAATCATTATTGCCAAATCTCTCTCGACTTATTGACTGTAAATGGCTATATAAAAATAGTTATTTTTGTAATTTAATATTATTGTGATGACAATATTGTTCCTCAAAATTTTAAACCTGTAAATATCTTAATTTTATCTTAAATAATCTTTTTAATAATTTCTGTATAGCAGTGCATTATGCTTCATTCTATTGATGTTGGTATAATTTTTTTTGGTTTTCCTTCTCGTTTTTAAGGTGAGCGTGCTAACCACATTGGAACGGCGCTTCAATTTGCAGAGTGCCGATGTCGGTGTGATTGCAAGCAGTTTTGAGATAGGCAACCTGGCACTTATCCTGTTCGTCAGCTACTTTGGGGCAAAAGCGCACCGACCACGTCTGATAGGCTATGGAGGCATCGTCATGGCGTTCGGTGCCTTCCTCTCGGCACTTCCAGAGTTTCTGACGAATCAGTACGAGATAAGGGAGATGTGGAGAACTGACTTGGGTCGGGACTATTGCAGCAACACCAGCAGCGAGGACGTCCAGTTTGAAGACGCAATGTGTGCCAACAAGGCCAACACCAACATGATGTACCTGCTGTTGATTGGAGCCCAGGTCCTGCTGGGGATCGGAGCTACACCTGTGCAGCCACTGGGAGTGTCCTATATCGACGATCATGTAAAAAAAAAAGACTCCTCACTCTACATAGGTAAGCTATGTGTATTGATATTCATGCTAGTAATAACATTTTATTTAGCTTTTCACATTTTATGTCAATAATATTCTTCTTGTATTATCTTACCGTTTCTTTCCCCCCCAATGCTACTAGCCTAGCACAATAAATAATTTAAGGAACAGGGGCTATTACAAACTCTGGTCACACAGTCTACGGGAACATATATTCCCGCAACTGTGGAACTGGTGGGCAGGTGTTGGATGTGTTTGAGAAGGTGGAGGGTGAGAAGTACACAGGCCATTGCAATATTCTGTATTTGCTAATGCTAATGCTAATACTTGTTAAAAGTTTTTGGGGCTTTTACCATTGTAAAGCGGGTGCAGCTGACTGTAGGTTCACGCAAACATTTTCACATCTTTCTTTTACCACTTAGACCCAGATAGATGCCCTTTGGGAAATTAAGGGTTCCCTTTCGCGAAATTACAATCTGCCCCAAAAGGCAACTTGTCATATCTGTCAAATGTTTACATCTGATTTTCTTAATTGCTACCTGCTGTGCCAATTTGTCACAGTGAGGGAAGCATGGCAGTCATTTGACAGAAGAAAGCTGCCAGGACAGGTGAAAGAAAACGAATCAGCGAGCAGCATTAAACATTGTCGTTTAATCACTGTCCTCGGCTGATCGTTTGTAAGCCTCCGGCTGAAAAGAGTGTCATATGCCTACGGCTGCGTGAAAAGAGCGAACTGTGCTTGGCAAAAAAACACATGGTTAGTTAATCTTGTGCATCTTTGGCCAATGTTTCTGCTGCCGTTGTCAAAAAAAACATTCCCGGTGGTCCATGTGTTGCCAATGTTTCTGCTGCTGTTGTCAAAAAAAAACATTCCCGGTGGTCCATGTGTTGCTGTTTTTATGTAGTGAGTGCGAGCCACGACTCTCAGTTGGAAAACTGTGGCTATGAACTATCAGCTGATGTATGTTCATGCCCCGTTAATGAACAGTGGAGTGAGCAGAGCAAAGCGCTGAGAGCCAGAGAAGAGCTATAATTACAGAACAAGGCAGGAATACCAACCAGCCAGCTGTGGGGTGGGTCTGAGTGGGCTTGGGAAGCACATGCATACAACTCAGACCTGTAAAAACAACTTCTCGAAAGCCTCTGGCTGCCTGAATGTCTGCCTTCACGGTGTATAAAGCGGCAGCAGAAACAGACAAGCTGTTTAGACAACTGTTAAACATACCAAAAAAAAAATCTGCGCCGTTTCAGAGAACTCTGTTTCTCCAGTAAGGTCAACCTGTTTACAGTCATAGCATGGATCTTATCACATTTAAAACACTTCGATGCTAAGCCAAATAAAATGGTAGATCATTTAAAGAAAGTAACATGTGTTGTCCTGACAATTTATATTTATGTTTTTCGAAAGTGTAAAAAGATTGGAGAGTAATTCCCAACCACTGCGCAGTTCAAAAAATCACTAGGTGTGCTATGGAAAAATTATTTAAAAAAATGTATGTATTTGGTCTGACAACAACTACAAATAACAAATAGTTTAGTGGAAAAGAAAACAGTTTTCGTTTCGTTGCACCCCTGAACAAAAAAAAGGATAATATGGAAATAATAATTGTTTTGTATGTTTGGATGTGCAGGAGGTCTTCATTCTACGTCAGGGTGGTTCCTAGAGGCTACATAACTCTTTTTCTGTAAATCGGAACTTATAAATAATAATATATTTACACATTATATAGTGCAAAATGTAGAAACACGCAAAACGGATCCTGTTGCCCAGGAAAGTACGCAAAATGTAGAAACAGGGTTAGAAAACGGATCCTGTTGCCCAGGAAAGTATTGCTTTTGCGTGGATTTAGTTTGACCAAAACATGCTTTTGTGCCATAATGAAGAGCAAAAAATGTTCAAAAATACGGCATACCACCAGCGAATGTAAACAGAGCCGTCTCCGAAATCCCCTGTATTCTCAAGAGGCCATTAACCACGTAGAAGCACTTTATAACATAGCAATGACTTCATTTTGTTAATTTTCGTTCCCTCCTCCTGTAAAGGTTTTTTTTTTTGTTTGTTCCTGTGCTTCTGATAACAATTTGTGAAGAAGAAAACAAGAAATTTTTTTCTGCACATCCTTGCCAACAGTAAGGCAGTGACTACAAACAGTTGTTAGGCTTCTACATAAGCTACTTAAAGTTAGTGCATGTTAATGTCATCTTAAAGGATTAGGTTCTAAATAGGTTTTCCCTCCCTCACCAAGAGTTGCATGTTTGCCTCGCAGTATCGGTCGTTTTTTTTTTATCTCTAAACTACTGCTTTACACCATTGTCACTATGGTACAGTGTGGTGTTGTCTGCCACAATGTGACAGGAAGTGTGGTAGCCCAGAAAGCCAATAAGCAAAATTGATTCAAACGATATCCTCTCAAATGTTGTTCACAACACAGAGGATTCCTTAGTTACTTTGAAGTTGTTTATAAAGGGTAGGGGGGACATGTTTAACATGAGGTATGATAACCTGCTTCAAGCAGTTTGCCTACAAACAAAACTGACTCACTACATCACACGGAGAACCCTACGTGAGATTCTAAAGAAGATGAAAGCACACCACAACATTCTCTTTTATTCTAAATGATAAACAGCCGAATGAGGCCGCTGTGAAATGTCAAATCGAATTTAGGAATTTGACCTTTTTTTTTTTGTCTATAAGCCTCCTTGTTACAAATGGTATACAATTGTAAATAAATTTAAAAAAAAAATAGTACAGTGGAACCTCGGTTTTTGAACAGTTCGGTTCACGAACCAAAATTTTTTGTAAAATGATATTTCATTAAATATTAATAAAAAAAATACATATCTAATATACTTTTATTTCTTTGCCAACAAAGGGGAAACCGATGGACGTATTGTTATTTATAGTAAATTAAGCTTTAGTTGTACAGGTTATTGGCCCGTTTGACATCCAATAAGGTTTAATATCATCTTTAATGCATATTAAAGATGATAGCATATTGTGCAATGCTATAAATGTTTAACAAGACATTGGGGAAAAAAAATTGAATCAAATTTAAATTTTAACATATTTTCTCAAAAAGAAATGTGACTAATTTGGTTGGTTTGGTTTGGTTTTAAATAAAGATTGTGGTAGTTTTCAGGCCAATATGGAGGCTCTGTATTCGGTACCACCTAGTCCCCAAATCCCAGGTTGGGTTGTGTCAGGAAGGGCGTCCGATGTAAAATTCTTAAGTGACTCTTTGTAGTTTTAAAACAATAGCTGCGAGTATGTTGACATAGAGGCCTGGACAGTAGTCCCATTCACAGTAAGGGGAATGTTGAAGAAGTAGTCTGTAGCCGAGCACAGTTTTTAGGTTTCAGTCTCACATTAGACCAAAATCATTTCTTTTGCGCAAGTCAATTCACAGGTTATGTTTCATAGAGGCATGTCCATTTTTCCTTATTAATGCTATCGTACGCCTAGCAATTATTAATAATTATAAAGCAAATTAAAAAAAGAGAAGAAATCATGTACATACAAATCATGTACATACATTCGTGTACATACAATTTTAAAAGTGAAGCTTATAGTTGTCTTAGGAATAAAGGGTAAATGTTAAAATTTCACTTTAAATTTGCACTGTCTGTAGAAGGTACATGCGATTCACTTTAAATTTGCACTGTCTGTAGAAGTAACTTCCTTCTTTGCAGTTTTTTTTTCAGGTTTATAAACATGTACTGTTTCAAAGCTATATTTACCACATTTTCTCCATTTTTTTTTTCTTTTTATTTAAAATACTTCCTTTTAAAACTATGATTAGCCACAATCTTTCAAACAATTCTGCACATGGTAATCTTTGATGATTATGTGACCATTTGAAACGTTTATAAAAATATTAGTCCCTTATTCGTTGCAACACACACAGGCTGCCACTGGAGGCACCGTTAAGCATGTGGTTTCTCTGCGGGGGAATGGAAAACAGGACCTTCTCAGTGTAAGGCAGGCATGATAAATATGGAACCATGAAACTAGTAACTACTCGTGGGAACTGAACTAAACAAACTGCCGTGAACCGCACTTCTCTTTTATTTGGACGTAACAGGTTATGTACTCTGTAATCTACTGGCAGTAGGAAGTAGGAGGCACGTAGACCATCATAAACTGTCTAAAACACTGCTAATTTCTCCGTTCCGGAAGAACTGTTGTTAATCCAACCTACAACACTCGAAAGGAGTGTCAAATCAGTAAATAGGTTAAACCTATAATTGAGATGGATCAGTCTTTTAGCTCCCTAAGTCTTCTTACCAGACTGCAGGCCCACTTGTTAGCATCTGGCTAATCCCAAAAGGCATGTTGCTTCGTTGGGCCACATACTGTACTGCAGATGAAGATGAAGAGTCTTGTGACCTAAAAGGGGGTTCAGAATATAGCGCCTCACAAAATCCCGAAGCCTAAATTTGTGTCACATTTGAACATATTTGTAGCACACCGTGAATCCAAGTAGCATCTGTTAACTTATCTGTACACCATGTAGCTTTTGCACGGCTAACTAGGTCAGCTTCTGTGGCTGCTAATCAAAAGGGGGGGGGGATTTTTGTGGTTCTCATTGCGGGAAAAGCCAAGTGAATTTGAACGTGGGGGGGGAAATTTGTCATTTTTATTTGAATAAACTGATTTTTTTTTTTTTTTTTTTGTAGTTCGTTTTTGTGGATTGGGAAAGTTTTTGCTCAGTTTTGAGTAGTGCTGTAGGATAACAATTTTGAGATGCGATTCAAGATTCCTTTACTTGTCACGTCACGTGCAAGATTCCAATAAAACGTAAAACAAATAGAAGCGCTGAGTGAAAGTTCAAGTGAAATGAAATAAGATAAGGAGACCTTTTGAAATAATACAAGAAATGCAGTGATTAAAGAAACTGTACGTACTGTATATTTACACACTCCCAGTAGAGAACTGGAAAAGAGTGAGAGTAAAGTAAAGAGTTCAGAATCCTGATGGCCTGTGGAAAGAAGCTCTTCTTCCATCTATCTGGGTGTTTGTTTTTTTTTTTGTTTTTTTTAACAGTTTCGTCCCTTTTTCAACACATATAGTTAATGCTTTTATAGAGGTACAGTATATCACTTGTCATTGGAATAGTAGCTCCCAAGCCAAAAATGCATTTCTCAACTCAACATTTTTTTTTAGTTCTATACCGACTACAACGTCTTCTATATGAAACTTTATAATTATAATAAACCATTCTCTTAGAATTCCACTTCAACGTAAGAGAGAAGTTACCATCGAGTATACAACTGTTGCTCACATGGTTTAGAGAATGTGGGAAAACTGGCTGTGGGCATGTCTTACTGATAATAAGGTCAAGCAACCTGCCAAGGAAGACAAAAACAGCTGCTGCCGCCGCGCACTCGGAGACATCTCTGAGCTTCTTCCTTTCACTGGAAAAGCTGTGTCTTATTGATTTGGGAGAGAGAGATTTTTTTTTTTTTTTTCTTCCTTAAGCTCACTACACCCCTAATCCCACTCCTCGTTTTGATTACATATGACGGTAGCAGGGCAACAAGTCTCGAGTCCTCCCATAATTTACTGCTAACCTACTCTACGTCAGTTACTTTCTACAGCTACTCTCTATTTATGGCTCTCTCTCTCTCTTATCCAAAAAAAAAAAAAAAAAACTCAACCTCAACAAGACCTTACATGGACAGTCTCTGTAATACTGAAACTACTGAACTACTGAAAACCAGTGTTATGCAGTTTTTGTTCTGCCATAAGACTTGGCATTTTAGCATTACAAGAGACAAGACTAAGATTGTCAATGTCAACTGTTTAAAAACCATTACTTGGCAGTGATAGCAAATAACTTTACTTGTATCATCTTTGCCGTCTTAGAACAGATGGGGAGAATCTACAGGAATGTACATTTCAAACTTTCTCTGGAATGATGTTGCCATGGTAATGCTTCAAAATGTAGAAACAAAGAATCTTAGTCCTAATAGTTGACACATTAGCATGTATGGATGAAAAGGTTTCATATGAGTGCTTCTTAAATAGTGGTACAGGGGGCTTCCAATAAAATATGACGCGCTGCTGTATTGCAATGCAACAAGCTCGCAGTCACTAGGTGGCTGCAACTCATACAGTTGTTTGTTAGCTTCTCAAAAGTATGGGAATAGTAGGGACATGAATAGAATTCTGTATTCCTGGGGGAGCGTGACAGAAAATAATTGAAAAACGACTGCCCTAACCCTACGGAAATCCTCCAAATTTTTGGACGATTAGCTTACAGTGGAATCAGCTTAACATTTGGTTAGCACAGACTTGACATGACAAAGTTTCAAAATCAACAGATCTGCATCCACCCTTACCAAAGGCTAAACTCACAGGTGAATAATTGTGGTGGTGCTTTCCAAAATCAGTTGGAGTTCAGTTAAATATGGCATATACAGGAGAGGAAAAGCAAGTGGAGAGAGCAGAAGGAGAGGAGCAGTAGTGATGGGTCAGCAAAAAAAAAAAAAAAGATAAAACAATATATTTATAAATAATGTATATAAATACATATGCATAACATTAAATATTTATACACATATATAGTCACTACATTGTGTTCGTTGTAATTTTTGTATCACATTGCTGGGTCATCAAGGGTTGTGGTTTGATTGATGCCTAAAAATATATATAAACGCGTGACTCATAAAGCTAATCGTTGTGTTAGGAATACATTACTTACCTGTGTATACTTTGCTTTTTGTAATAAAAAAAGTAAAGGGATAGGACTGGATTCCTTTTGTATGAAGTAAATGAGTAAAACTGAAGTACATGTTTTCACTCTGTCACATTCTCCAAATTATTTAAGCCATTTTTTTTTGTGATTCTGAGGAGATATTTAAGCAGTTTTTAGTGTACTACAATAAACATCACCCAAGGCTCTGGTTGTATGTACTTGTCCTTCAAATAAATATCTCCTTTATACTATTTAAAAACATGAAACTATTTTCATGTTTTTCAGTATTCAGACATCATTTAAATATCGAGATACTTAAAACACGAAACTAGTTTCACCTTTGTTCTTTGTCAGAATTGTCTAAACATTCTTGCCACGCCACCACAGGGGTGTTCCGCTGTGACACTGCATATCTGCATGCCATTACTGTAAGCAAAGAATAAATAACTGTGATGTCAATGAGACTATTATAATACCAACACGTTGACTGCTTTCTATGTGATCGGTCAAAGCAGGAAGTAAACATTCTTTGTTCTCACAGGACGCGGACGGAGCTTTGTCATAGTTTCCACTTGTTTGTTTAAACGATTTTTGTAACTTGGAACTTACTGGTAATCCCACCCTCGAGCAACATGCATACTATACTGCAGCCAAAACATGCACTCTTCTTTGGGTAGCACAGCACAAGAAAAGCAAGCGACTTGTACTACTATTTATTTGCCATTCGTTATACGGTATTCATATGCAGACTCACAGCTATGCCAAAGATACGGTTTGGAACTATCAGTATGAGAATAGTACTTTAAAAGGATGTTCTGGGATAGTGCTACTTCCATTATTTACCAATTCACTATTCCGTAATTACACAGGTCTCAATGCACTTTAATAGAGAAGAAGATATATACTGATGATATACTTGTTGTTTTGTGTCATTTCTGTGCATACGCTCTAATTTATCAGTGGATACAAAGTATTGCAAAGCAATTCCAATGGCTGTAAAAAAAAATATCAGCGACGTCGCCAGCGGCTAGTTGACGTCCGCTCGACTTTCATTACACTAACTTGAACCTTATTTGAACCTTATGCTTTCTACTCGGGGGGGGGCAGCAGTGGCGCTCTGAGCATGGCACCGTCCCCGGACACTGCTGTCCCCAGGCGCTGAAGCAGCCACCTGCTCGCTTTGGAGATGGGGTTAAAAAGCAGAGGTCACATTTTGTTGTGTTTGCAGTGGTCTGCTGGGGCCACAATGATAAATAATTCACTTTCGCTTTTCCGGACGTGCATTCAGGAATCCTGTTTTCCACACTGGTGTTTGGACCTGCCTGCGGCTTCATCCTTGGCTCGGTTTGCACCAAATTCTACGTGGACGCCATCTTCATTGACACGAGTACGTGTAACATTCTCTCTCAGTAGTACTTTGTTTGTTTTGCTCTCTTTCGTGACCTGAGCTTTGCTTCTCTGCAGGCATCACTCCAGAGGACCCGCGATGGATTGGGGCTTGGTGGCTCGGCTTCCTGCTGTGCGGCGCCTTACTTTTTTGCTCGGCCATCTTGATGTTTGGCTTCCCGAAGTCACTGCCGAATGGGGACAAAGACGACGGGTTAGACAGCGAACAGGTCATGCTGTCGCACTCCCTAAGTTCAGACTACGAAACTCCAAAGCCCAGCAATGGAGTGATCTGTAGCCCTGAGCCTGCCAACATCCCTACTTGCTTTCAGCAACTCAAAGGTAATTACGAAGGCATTGTTGCAATCTGTTTTTCTTTTTGTTTATATTAGCGCCAATGCACTTATCTCAAACTTCAAAACGAGAATTCACATTTTTAAAGCCAACGTTTTTGTATGTATAATTATTTTATAATGAATTTTGGTTAATTTTCCGCGATCAATTTCACGAGATAGGATTCAAAAAATAAATCTGCAATGTACTGAAGGAGCGAAGGAGCGAACTGTATGTTCCTTATTGTGCATTTTTTGGCTGCTGTGACTTATACTCGGGTGCGACTTATAGTCCGCAGAAAATTGTATATTATTATTATATTAGTTTTTTTTCATATTTGTACGATAACCGCAAAATGTTCTATCACAAGAATTGTAAAGTCTTGCAGGTATCTGTGCCTGCTCACACCTCAAGTCTCTTGATTTACTGCATCTAATTTTCACCGAACCTAAGTTGTTTTTTTGTTTTGTTTTTTTTTTTTTGAAAATTCTATTTTGATTTTGATATCTTACTTGGACACTTTTTAAATTAAAACATGATGTTAATGCCCCACCCACTGCCTAGTTTTTAGTATGGAGTTTGCATATTTTCTGCAAGTATTCCGTTTTCCTCCAATAGCCTAAAAACATGCTTATTAGGTAGATAGGACATAAGGTTTGGGCAATATTGGCAACAAAAAAGCAAAAAAAAAAAAAATCCCGATTATTTATGGCATTTTGCTGATAACAGTTAATGTGACAATCTAAAGATCGCAAATGCAGTTGCATGTTTTTGACTCTAAAATGATCTAAAATGATCCTCTTCCAAAGCAACAGTCCTAACTAATTCCACAGGCATCTCGCTGACATTGATCTTTATGAAAATGTTCAGTTTTGTTTTTTGCCCTTTGCATAGCACTGAAACAGCCTTGATACAAATAATTCTATCTAATCGATCAATCTAATCTAGACAAGATATATAGATATATAATAGATAGATAGATAGATAGACAAATTAATAGATAGACACAGAGAAATAGATAGACACATACAAAACATGTAATAATAATATCCTGAAATGTCTAGAGACAGATCTAACGTCACCATGTCTTTGCTTTTCTTCTGCTTTCGTCTCATTAGTAATCCCCAACGTGACCAAATGCCTCCTGTCAAACCCGGTGTTTACCTGCATAACCCTGGCTGCTTGTATGGAGATCGCAGTTGTGGCTGGTTTTGCTGCCTTTCTTGGGAAATACCTGGAACAGCAGTTCAACCTCACCACCTCCACAGCCAACCAGCTTTTAGGTGTGTGCTCAGAGTAAAGTAGGCCTCCAAAAAGTACAGTGTACGGTGGTTTTTTTTTGTCAACCTAGTACTTGTCTGTAATGCAAACGCAGCTAACTGTGCACTTCCCATCAAGAAAATAACGAAACGGTGGCTTCTCGATGAATATCACGTTGATCCTTAAAGTATGTTTTGACGCAGAAACATGCACGTTGACAAAAAAATAGTAACAGTAATATGCACTAGAAGCGCAGTCAATGCTGTGAAGGTTAAACTGAACGAAAATGACAGCACTAGAAGCGCAGTGACGGTACATTTCTCATGAGCACAGTCAATGCCGTGAAGGTTAAACTGAACGAAAATGACACAAAAAGACAGCAACGAGAAAATCGTTTTCATTTTCACTTACGTACAAAAACATCTGTATTTGTCTTTCACTGTCTGTACATGTAAAGATTTAAAGTACTTTTTCTATTGATGGGCATTTGTACAGTTGCCTTATCTCTAGCAGAAAGATTATCGGTAAAGTATGCGTTGAGCCAATGAACACATGACATTGTTTATTGTGTATACGTCTCTAAAGTAAATATACTGTAGCTTGTTATCAGATTTTAGAACCAACATTTTTACACAACGGCATAATCATTTGTCTGTCTTTTTTTTCCCTTTACAAAGGTATGACTGCTATTCCCTGTGCGTGTCTGGGGATTTTTTTGGGCGGTCTGCTGGTAAAGAAGTTTGACCTGTCAGCGCTCGGAGCCATCCGCATGACGATGTTGGTCAATCTCATATCGACAACTTGCTACGTCTTCTTTCTCTTCCTCGGATGTGACACTGGCCCAGTGGCAGGAGTGACAGTGACATATGGCAATGAGTAAGAGGCTGCACCAACACATGTACATATGTATGTACATATGTATATGTATGTATGTACATATTCATCAAGAAAATATGAAATACCGTATTTTCTGGACTATAAGTCGCACCAGCCAAAAAATGCATAACGAAGCGGGAAAAAAACCCACATATATAAATCATTTTGGAGTATAAGTCGCACCAGTGCCCTCTAGCGGCTGTGTGGACATAAGAAACGTACATTTTCAGTGGTACAGGAGTAGCAGATACTGTTACACAAGCCTAGAGTGTCCTCTAGCAGTCAGTGTCAGTGTAAAAATAACAAACATGAGAAATTATGAAAATATGAAATACCGTATTTTCTGGACTATAAGTCGCACCAGCCAAAAAATGCATAACGAAGCGGGAAAAAAACCCACATATATAAATCATTTTGGAGTATAAGTCGCACCAGTGCCCTCTAGCGGCTGTGTGGACATAAGAAACGTACATTTTCAGTGGTACAGGAGTAGCAGATACTGTTACACAAGCCTAGAGTGTCCTCTAGCAGTCAGTGTCAGTGTAAAAATAACAAACATGAGAAATTATATATTTTGCAACTTATAGTCCTGAAAATACGGTAATTGTGGCTTAGCGTTGTTAAAGGAAACTCCAAATAATCCGCACTTAACACATTTATGAAATTTTTTTTAAAAAAATTCAGAGCAAATTTTAAAAGGGGAAGACGGGCACAGACAAGAACTCTAACCTGACAGTGTCTACATATACATCTATAAAATTAAATAACATTTACAGTCCTAAATATACTTCGTATCTTTTACTCAAACATTGGTTTAAATAGGTTACTAACATGAGATGACTTTTGAAAATGCCAGTGTAATATTTTGTGTTGAAATGGTTCTTGTGTGTTGTGTCCCTGTTTAGGTCACTACGCGTGGGCGAGAAACCAGATGCCGAGTGCGTCCGTCACTGTAACTGCTTGACATCCTCCATCAGCCCCGTGTGCGGCTCCAATGGCGTCACGTATCTGTCTGCCTGTTTCGCAGGCTGCACACAGACGCTCCCTCGAACCGCATTTAATGTCTCCCAGGTCTTTGAACTCTTTACTCAATGATTAGTCTTTCTCCTTTATTGCCCTAATGTGGACACTATAATTGCTTTTATTGTGATGTTTGGAGTGTCTCTCTATGTATAATGCATTGTTATTGTACAACTTCCTTTTTAAGTTGCATAATTCTTGTTTGTGTTTCTGATTTAACGAAGCATGCAAAGGAGCTCTTACTTTTTTTTTTTCCCTCCACCCCCTCTTTCGTTGTAATCTACAGAACCTGACAGGATGTAGTTGTATATCGGCCCAGAGTGCGTTAGCCACAGCGGTTCCAGGAAAATGCGCTGTGCCAGGTTGCCAGGAAGCTTTTCTCATCTTCCTGTGTATCATCTGTGCCTGCAGCCTGGTTGGAGCAATGGCCCAGACGCCATCCGTCATCATCCTAATCAGGTGCGTTTTTTTGTAAATATGTGTTTGAGAAGTGAAGAACATGGCTAACAGAATTTGCTCTGCCTTTGCTCTGTCTTCTAAAGGACCGTGACCCCAGAGCTGAAATCCTATGCCCTCGGAGTGTTGTTTCTCCTGCTGAGACTTATTGGTAAGAACTGCATTCATTATACATGACACGGTATTTTTACATGACGCAGTGTTTATGTCGTAGCTTAGCAGATCTGTGCGAAAATAAAAAGCTTCTACACCAGTGAATGAGTCAGTGGAGTGGATTAGATAAGAGAAGGTAAGTAACAATTAGCAATATTACAAGGCTCATGATTTTACAGTACCAGTATTTGACTTGATTTTATTTAAATTTTGCAATAACAATTAATAGGGCATGAGATCTATTATATATATATATAAATATAAAAATATATAAATAAATATATATATATAAATAAATATATATATAAATAAATATATATATAAATAAATATATATATATATATTTATATTTATATATATATTTATATTTATATATATATATTTATTTATATATTTTTATATTTATATATATATTTATTTATATATATATAAAGAAAATCCTTTTTAAGATAAGATACATTTCAGAGTGGAACATTGGGGGGGAAAAAAAAACAAAACAACTACAGCCCTTTCAATCCGATACCTAAAACCAAATGTTCAACTTAACTTTGAACGACACGACATGCGGCAAACATGGGCATGATGTGTGCTCTAAAAATAGTTTTAATGCCCCAGTGACAGACCAGTCAGATGCCCCAGTGCTCTGAAGAACTTTTACTGAAACACAATTGATAATACTGATACTGGCAATCAGGATATGGTATACAGAATGCCGCTGCCAGCAACTCCTACAATGGTTTGTAGACATCAATAAATAAATATTATCAGTTTTTTAAAAAAAAAAAAACAGGAGACGAAACTGATCTGAAACAAACAAGAACCATGGAAATGGGTTTAAATGTGCTTTGTCCTTCCTAGGATTCATCCCACCTCCCCTCATCTTTGGTGCTGGGATTGACTCGACTTGCCTTTTCTGGAGTTCAGACTGTGGTGAAAGGGGTGCATGCCTGCTCTATGACAACATGGCCTACAGGCACCTGTACGTGAGCCTCGCCATCATTTTAAAAGGAGTAGCCTTCCTGCTCTACACCACAACGTGGTACTGCTTGCACAGGAACTACAAGAAGTACATCAAATCTCATGACAACCACCTGGGTCCCAATGAGTTTTACCCATCACTCAACGATGATCCCGAACTGCTTAACCAGACCAAGTTAATTTCCACCATAGAGGACCATGAGATTTGTGAGAATATGGAGTCGGTTTTATAATTTGTATGAAACTACGTGACATTCTTTTACACAAAACAAATAAACGTGACCTTTCACATCCCCTTTAGGTCAGCCTAAAAAATGTTGCACTTGGCTCCATGGAAAGCATCTACTCTATTTTGGGATAAAAACATATTGCTCTATTTCCATTTGGCCCTGCAAACTTCCTCCTTGATGACTCTGTATTGTATTTTTATCATCTACCATTTTAGATCCCCCTCCCTCCCCCAAACAGAGAATATTTTATCTGTAGGACTAAAAAGATGTGGTTTCAGGAAAAAGTCGCTGCTATTAAGACCTTTAAAGACAACTTGACAAAACTACAACTCAGTACATCGCTAATCTTCAGTTTGACAGGTGTGTTGTGCCATTCTTTCTTTGCTCATCTTACATAAAACCCAATAGAACACTGCTAAAATTAAAAAAAAAAAAAAAAAGGTATATATTTTTTTACTTCTTCCGGGAGCACGGGTTTAAAGCTTCAAACCAATTACTGTATATGCAGTATGAAAGTTTCTGGTAGTATGTAATTTGGTGCCAGAACTGAGAATAGAATACTTTTTGTCATGGAATAGTGGAAGAGCTGATAAAGCAATAACCTCAAAGTCAACAATGTTTCCTCCACAGACTTCTGGTGTTTCAGGTTGTAAATGGAGAACTCCATTTATTTCTAGGGATGTCTGATAATATCGACCAATCCATATGATCAGCACGATATTGGCATAATTATGCAATATCTGTAAGAATCGTTGTTGGTTTCTCCTCCAATAATGAAAACCCGATAACGCAATGCCTGGGTTTCGTCAAATGACGTCTGCCCTAAAAAATAAGATGGGGGTTAAACTATGGGCTATATATGAAAGTAGCCACTAGATGGCAGCATTGCAGCTCATTTAATTAATCTATTTGAATCAGGGGGATTATATGCCGATTGATGTTCCCAGCAACTCAGTACAGTGGTTTGTACAGATAAATAAATAAATACTGCCAGCCCTATATCAGTATGGGTTGATATCGGAATTGGAAATTAAGTGTTTGGACAATAACGGCATATTGGATATGGGCAAAAAGTTAAAATCGGACATCCCTATTTACTTCCTATCCCAGGCTCATGAGTTTGACTAAATGTTTTGTGGTTGTTTTGTACACTTATTTAATTTTGCCAAGTAATTGTAGATTGTAACATTAAGGGTTTACACTGTTTGCAAAAGGTTTTTAATCCAAAGCCACAGTTACTTCTTGGGTTATTAATAGTGACCTACACATGTTCCGCTGTCAGTGTATTCAGTAAAAAAAAAAAAAGTCTTGCTAAAAATCTTAAAGATACAATTTTGTTTAATGATGTCCTCACTGTACTGAAAGTGTTAATGTGCAATTCGTGTCTGACGTGTCCATATTTACTGTATTACCTGTATGGTGTCCTACGTTAAGGTTTTTTTTTTTTTTTATAGGGCTGTCATTTGATAAATCATGAGGTAGCTGTGGATTAATCACGATTAACCTCGATTAATTGCCAGACCCGAAAGACAAATAACACGTAGTATTTAACAATGATGTAAAGAAAGCCGCACAATAATATTACAGGGTTTTCATTACTGTTCATCTTGTCGATGGTTTGTTGAATGTATTGAAAGTTGCCTTCAAAACTTTCAGTGAAGATGTCTTCAACAATATTCATACGTATACAGCTTGTCAGCTGATTGACGCCGTTACAACGTGTGTGTATCAACTGCATTAGAGATGAGTGGATAGGGGGGCGTAAATATTGGATATACAAGGCATGGGCAAACTAAGGCCTGTGGGCCGGATGCAATACCCATGTTTCCCCAATAGATGGTGTAGAAAATGATAATAGCATTTGATCTTTTTAGCCTTTATGCATGACATGCTTACATGTCATTTATCTTAATTTGCACGAACGCTCCATCTATCTGCTCCTGACCCATAACCCCTGTTCAATTTCAGGACAATTGTGGCCCGCGAGTGAAAAAGTTTGCCCCACGCCTGGGATATACCAGTACACGTCAGTCTGCCTGTGTGTTAAAAATGCACAACAATTTTAATCATATGCAATTTGACAGCCCTAGTTTTATATTTGCAGTCTGGGGAAGTTACATGTTTGTTGTTAGTTTGTGTTTGCAGAATGTATTCAGCTTGTTTTGTTATACAATACGGTTACTTAAGAATATTTGATGGCTGTCAATGTTTTACTTTTTGCACAAAGGAAGGGCAGAGAAAAAATGTTTTTTTTTTATTTAGTTCTATGCATTTTTGACAATTAAAAAAAGTAATATATATATATATTCCTTCAAGTTCAGACCGTTATAATGCAATGTTTTGAAAAGAACATTAATTTATATATATATGTATATATACTATATTTCATGTAAATAAAGCTGCACCATTTTGACGCTGAAGCTCAGAATCAGTTCGATTTTGTTGTATAAATGCTGTTTATAAGCAGCATTGTAATACAGTAATTGGCCGCAAATCAGTCCCCCACATAACATACACACACACATGCCACACCTACCAACATCTTCACAGTTGCCGGGGCCTCAAAATTGAACTTTTTCCCCACTCTTGACTGGGGTTCCTTGCTTTTGTTTTTGGCCCTTTCGACTAGATATACAAGGAAAACCTGTGAATAATTACTATTACGACCCATCCATATAAATACGTATCAAGCTTGAATCCCTTACACACCCTGCCTTTGGAGTTCAGGACCTTGAGTGCCTTGCACAGACAGGGGGCGCTTCAGTTCCACAAGAGAATTTGATGGGTGAAAGTTACAATGGAGGAATGTAAGAAAATAATAATAATTTCCAGTTTCACTGTAAAAGAAATTTCTTTTTTAATAGGATTTACATTTATTGTAGTTATATTGACATAGAGTAATTTTTAAAAAAAAGATCAACAAGGTTAAAGGCTTGAAATTAGCCTGTGAGATGGGGTTTTGTGGAGTAGCACACAAACGTAAAGTACACCACTGATATTAAACTCCGCCCAGTTCACGTGACCGAGGAGAACAAACATAAAATCTGTCCATAATTTATATTCGCAGCTACAAATGCATATCATGCTTACAAGTTGCAAGCTTTTACACACAGCAGAGACGACCAATCATATATACGTTACGAAACCAGCAGAGCCAATCGAGAGCGATATTTAGATTAGAGACGGGACTAAGCAAAAGACCAACTAACCCTTTGTGTGCCGTAGAGCTTGACTAAACATTACGGACTGGGGTTGTATTGATAGTGACTACACAGTACTGACTTGATATTGGTAGGAACGTCCCTATTGTCCCTACCTAATTCTACGCCCCTGCCTATTACACAGCGATAGGTGCCTGAAATACAACAGCAAAGCTCTTATTTTGAAGGCAACTATTTTGGTTCTGTTTCTAAATTAACAATTCTAGCAAAGAAACAAATTGTGACGGACAGACACAATTACATATAACGCAGACAATGAAGTTGCGACCTGAATTAAAAGGTAAAGACAAAAAAAAAACAATCGTTCGCTCAGGTCGTTCACTGTGTTTCGTTCGCGTCTGACTCGTCGTGGTACGTGCATCCATCCGGAAACGCCACGTCAGACTGGGAGTGCCTCGAAAATAAAAAATAAGAGACAATGACGGTGTTGCACTCCAGTCTGTTTGAAATAACAGCTTTATCCGTGACTAGATAAATCATTATAAATTCATATTCAATGTCAATTGTTGGCGAAATTGTACCACTACATGAAATTAAAACAACCTCTTGAAAAATGTATTTTCCATAAATGGCGTACACAACCATCGACATTGATACTTATAGCAGTGCTTATAAAGACCGAAGACATGTACCCGAGATATACTGAGGTCTCGAACGTCTTTCTCTACCGTGTAGCGGCAAAAAACTGCCACCACTCCTCTGCCATGACCCAAAACACCCGCAGTGCTGACGCAGCACACTGAAGAAAAAAAGATGTCCACACCCTGTCTCAAATTCCGTACAAACATAAGAACGTTAAATTGCTTTGTTTATACAGCATTATTCTGTTTTAATGTTTGTTTTTACTGTTTTATCTATATATTTCTTCTCTGTTTTAATGTTTGTTTGCTTTTTTTTTACTGTTTTATCTATATATTTCTTATTAAATGATAACATTCAGGGCACGTATGAATAAATACAATGGGCTCATAAGGGACTAAATGTATGTGCACTTCCTTGTTCGAATTTCTTCAACGGATCAAGCCAACATTTAACTTCATCATCATCACCACACAGAACCTTTTAAGGAACTTCAATGTCAGGAGGTTATAAAAAGCATATAAAAAACTGCCATGCGCATGTGCAGTTTATGCGAACAGCTCATTGGTCAACGATAGGGGTGGGGTAAGCATCACACGTGAACTACTTTTCAGAATCAGCTATACCCAGTTGATGTGACTCGTCTAAATTTGGTTTCTATCGTTAGGTTTATATATATTATTTTCAAAAGGATGTGTAAAACTAAAGGTTTTTTATTGTCATTCTAATAATTATGATCATGATAAAAAATATAATGGAGCTAAATATAATGATCTGTTTTCAATTAATCAAGTTATTGATTAGAATGTACTTGTTCAAAGTTGTCCAAAAAAATCATAAATGCTTCAGTTATTTACATATTTGAAAACAAATGCACACAGCCAAATGCCTTCTTACCAGGAATCAGATTTTTTAGTGCGCTTGAAGTAGCTCTCAGTTTCAAAAAGGTTGGTGACCTTAGATTACATTAGACCCAAGTTTGATAATTTTGCGTGGTGATGACAGTATAATACATGTCATGTCACTACCTGTTTGTTACACTTTATCTGGCAAAGGCAATAATGAAAAAAAAGAAAAAAAAATCTTAAAGAATAGTGTGTGCAAAAATTCTGATTGGTTAGCTCTGATCCTGATCTATTAAAAAACAGGTTCTACCTGTTTTACAAATTCACACCTAATTCTATTTTTAGTGGCAGCATAATCTTATCAGAATGTTATTCCAGGTGACACTTGAATTTCCAATATTACCTCGTAGTCCAATTTACTAATAACATTTAAAGAGTAAGGGGCCAGAGCCCCAAAATATGCACAAAGGGAAAAAAACAACACTGAAACCTCACTGAACAGGTGATAAGATTTGTATTCTGATACTATTGTCACTACGTGTTATTATTCTAAGTAAAAATTGCTAAACTAAAGTTACCCATTGGTAAACATTGTATTATAAATTATTAAAATGTTTAGGAGGCACTAACTTTACTTACAGTACAGAATCTACCTCTTAACACATTAGGTCACATGACAGCGGAGTGATACCTGTTTTTGTTTTGTTTAATGGGGACGATTTGGAAAAGCGGTCTTCGTGTTAATAAATGTAAATCCGTTTAAAATGTTTGTTCTTATTGTATTGTCTGTTAGTTATACAAAGACATTGCATTTTGATTTACTAACTGTTGTGTTTTTTGGAAAATTTGGAGTTTTGTAAGAACATATTGGCCAAGATGGCGCTGCATAGGAAGTGGAGTTTGTCTTGAGTCGAAAAGGAAAGTGGGCAGAGCCGCCGAGGGATATGAGCTCAGGCAGAGGAAGAGAGGCGGACATAATACAGAAAGGAGCGAAGTGATGGGGTTGGAGTAAGAATAGAGTGGGACGATGCTGCCCAAGATGCTTCATAGATGACGAAAATTGACCAAAAATGCCATGATGAGCAAAGAAATTGACGGGAAAAGACACACCATGGATAATGGGTAAGAAAATGCCTATAAAATACGTAAATATCTTTAAATACGACGCTGGTGCGGATGCCAATATGGTGGAAAGAACGAACTTATGACACAGCTAGGTAAAAATGGCCATGGTGTGATGGCAGCGAAAAAGAGATTTTTAAAGTCAAAACTTGTTATGTTTTTGCCTGACTCGATCGATTTCATACTCTTGCTGATAGATTTTCAATTTAGCCCAAGTCATGTTTGGATAAGTTTGATGGTTTTCGACTTGTTTTAGGTTATTTCGACCTACGCAATTAAAATTGGCTTTGTCCTTGAAAGGACAATTGCTCTGTTCCTGTTTTTACTCGACAAAAACGACAAAAAAATGAAAGATTTGGTTTTTTAAGTGCTATATTTGGACTAGGCTTTTCACTACACGAAGTTTGAGAACATTTTTGGTAAATTATCGTGAAATTAATTTTGACGCATTTTACGACATAAAACCACAAAAATATGAAAAGATTAGAACTAATTTTTTACATTTTAACTCACACAGGAAACCAATATGTGGAATGGTACCACATTAACATACACTACACTAAAACCTATTTTTATACAGAAATATATTTTTTTAATTGTTGAAAAGATTAAAATTTGTAAAAACAAAAATACTCTTTATATTTTCTTGCAATGTTGGAATAACATCGAAATATATCGTATATGTTTTGTTGAATTAAGAAATATATGTTGTAAATCCTAAGATATACTTTGAAAAACATTAGGGTGTTGGCTTTTAACCCTTTGAGGTACAGAATAGAAGACAAAATAGGATTAGTACAACACTGTCGTTTTCCAATGTCAGGCAACATCTAAGAGACATTTTAACCAACATTTAGTTTGAAACCTAAAAACAAGGTAATTATTTGAGGTTTGTTAATTCAAGTTAAATATAACATTTAAACGTCAAACCAACCCACCAGGTTTTTGAATTGTTAGTTGTTCCACATATGAAGCCCAACATTACATATAATATAAGAGATCTACTACCTTTAAGGCAAATTTGTGTAAGTGTTTGTTCATAATCAAAGGATTAGTCAATTTTGCACATAACAAAAATATCTTATATCTTCTTACTTAATAGAGAAAAATCTTTCTAAAACAAGTTAGCAAAATCCTGCATCATCACATGACAATAATTATTGAAAGCTATCTTCACGTCTTACCTAAATAATTTATTAAACAAGGAAGAGTTTGCAAAATAATTCATATTTCAGTCAGAAAAATTAGCCTGTTATCGCAAAATGTGTAATACATGCAATTGTGACTAAAATCAACCTTTATATTTTGCAGTGGTTTCTGTTGGTGGTCTACAAATTTCTTTAAAGAGGAGTGAATCTCGTCCTACCCATGTGAAATGGTATGTTTTTATTTACTTGCGAGTTGTCGTTCTTTGCTGCAACATGCATATCCAGTAGGGTATGCTGTTTCACCTGCTCTTAACCAGATGTTATTTGTTTGTTTTTTCCGAAGGGTTGACATTTAGCCACCAAGGCATTGCGAAGGAAGAGATGTGGGCAACACAACATTGAAAATGTGTAAGTGTTTTTCTCAAAATAGGAAAAAGAAAGATTTCTCGCTTAACGAGTTAGCAAATTTAAGCTAACAATAAGCAAGAATCGCTAGTAGTTTGCA